CCAACTCTCGCGTCAAGACCGTGAATGCCGAGGTACAAAATGCTCGTGGGGTAGCTAATGGAGTTGGTGTCAAATTGGGAGCTTGGAAAGGTATGACAAACTTTACTGTAACCGCTATGGATATCTTTGACATCATAATGGGGCAAGAGTTCTTTAGACGTTGTCATACTTTGATCGACCCCTACCTCTAACGTCTCTTGGTTATGGAGCGAGAAGGAGCTTGCATGGTACCTACAGTGACTATGCCATATAGACAAATCCAAGCACAACTCTCAGCTATGCAGGTTCTCAAGGGGATCAAGAAAAGGGAGCCGACGTTCGTGGCAACCATTGCAAGTCTAGAGAAAGACAAGAGTTTTCAAGAGACACTGCCACCTTGCATAGAGAAGTTGCTTGAGGAAAACAAAGATGTCATGCCTGAGGAGTTGCCTAAGCACTTGCCGCCTAGGCGAGAGGTGGATCACAATATTGAGTTGGAGCTAGGGGCTAAGCCACCCGCATTCGCCCCATATCGTATGGCACCGCCCGAGCTAGAGGAGCTCAAGAAACAATTGAAAGAGTTGCTGGATGCTGGTCACATTCGCCCATCAAAGGCACCTTTCGGCGCGCCAGTATTGTTCGAGAAGAAGAAGGATGGATCGCTGCTCTTATGCATAGACTACCGAGCACTTAACAAGATCACAGTGAAGAATAAGTACCCGATCCCGCTCATTGCTGACTTGTTTGATAGACTTGGGCAAGCCAAATACTTTACCAAGGTGGATCTTCGCAAGGGCTACTACCAGGTTCGCATTGCAGTAGGGGATGAGCCGAAGACAACATGTGTGACGAGATATGGAGCCTTTGAGTGGTTGGTGATGCCCTTCGGCTTAACCAATGCAACGGCCACATTTTGCACCCTTATGAACAAGATTTTCCATCCCTACCTTGATCAGTTTGTGGTAGTCTACCTAGATGACATATTCATCTACAGCAACACCTTGGAGGAGCACACGGAGCACTTAAGGAAGGTTTTCCAAGTCTTGCGGGAGAACGAGCCATACATCAAGAGGGAGAAATGTGAGTTCGCACAATCAAAGGTGCACTTCTTGGGCCATGTCATTAGCAATGAAGAGCTACGTATGGACGAGGCTAAGATACGTGCTATCCAGGAGTGGGAGGCACCTACAAAGGTAATAGAGTTGAGATCCTTCCTTGGCCTTGTTAACTACTATTGTCGGTTCATCAGTGGCTACTCAGCAAAGGCCGCACCATTGACTGAGTTGCTAAAGAAGAACAAGCCATGGGTTTGGATGGAGCATTGTCAAAAGGCGTTTGAATGCCTTAAGGCAGCTGTAACAGAGGAGCCAGTCTTGGCATTACCTTACTTTGCCAAGACATTTGAGGTGCACACAGATGCCTTAGACTTCGCCATTGGGGGTGTCCTGATGCAGGATAAGCATCCCATAGCATTTGAGAGCCACAAGTTAAATGAGACGGAGCGGCGTTATACGGTGCAAGAGAAGGAAATGACTGCCATTGTGCATTGCCATTGAGCTAGCCACAGGCCAACAGCCACAAACTCCACATTCATTACCAGCTGCGTTCGAGGGAAAGAGTTTGGGGGCTTATCATATGGCAAAAGGATGGGAGGAGCAGCTTGACACTGCTAAGTCCTGCTTGCTAAGTCCTACTTCGAGGACCGTAAGCGGCGTTCCACGGGCTATAGAGTTGGGGATGTGGTAATGGTGAAGTTTAACCCAAGACAATTCAAGGCACTACAGGGCATGCATCAGAATCTGATTCGGAAGTATGAGGGGCCATTTAAGATCGTCGCCAAGGTAGGCAAGATCTCATACAAGCTTGACATGCCATCGTATCTTAAGATCTACCCCGTCTTCCATGCCAGAATGCTTAATCCATATCATGAAGACAGGGTTGATCCGAGTAGGGGCCAATCAAGTCGAGCGCCTATTACTATCACTGCCTCACATGATCGGGAGATTGAGGCTATCATTGATTACCAGGCCAGGCGAAAACAAGGCCAAAAAGTCGTCGCTATGTTCCTTGTCCATTGAAAGGGGCAATCACCGGAGGAGGCCATGTGGGAACGATATGAAGATTTATGGCAATTCAAAGATAAGATCCGAGAGTTTATGCAGCAGCATTGCCCCGCGGTCGTCGCAACATTAGGTGGGGGAGAGTGTGATGACCCGCCATGTCATCACGCCACATAGACGCCATTTGGCATATATTAATGCCATGTGGAAGCTTACATAGGAGGAAGGCTAGCATTTGTGAGAAGATTCTAGAGAAGTATGAATATTTCCTTAGGAAGATCCTAGATCCCTATAGATTTGCTAAGAAAGTCCTTAGAAGATTCTAGCTATGTAGAAAATTCTAGAGAAGGGACTTACTTGTAAATAATAAGGGACTTGTGTAACAATTAATATTTACACACTAGCCCTAGGAGACTAGTATATAAAGGGGGCCATTCATTTGTAATTCATCAAGCAAACAATTCAAGTTCTCTCTAATACAAAGCTCCCTTTAACAATTCTCTTGTGTTCTTTCTACCATTCTCTTAGTGATCTTGAGTGCAGTAAGGCCGACTTGGCATAGCAAGAACGTGAGTAAGTTATCAAGTGCCGCACGTGTACGTGACAAAAGGCTGAAATAACAAGGTTGGTGTTCATCCTTTTTTTTTCTCACTCTTTTCTATTAGTCCATGTGTTTCTAAACTCTTTATATTAGTTTTCTTTTAAAATGCTTAGATGGTGCCAGAACTGGCTTTCTTTGGAGCGGATGCACGTTCCATACGCTTGGAAGTTGATAGTACAGGGGTTAATGGCACTCGGAATAACACCAAGGATGTTAAGCAAGGAGACAAATATAGAAAGGAGAGCCTGAGCAGAGGTTTTAAGTTACTTTTTTGTTTCTTTCATTTTTAGATGTTGTCTTGTCAGTAATATGTAAATTCTTGATACTAATATTTAATTTCTAGTCGAACAAGACTTGTATTGGTGCGTTAGTTTCATATAAAGACAATCAAAGAAATTTGTTGAAACATGTCAGCTAGGGACGATAAACAAATCAAGAGAAAAGAGGGAAAATGAAAAACAACAAACTCTTCATACAATAAATTCGATTCTCCAACTCAATTATATCCTATTATAAAGGGAAGCTGACGATATTTTTCGTAATTTTGAATTTTTTTTACCATATGTAAAAATATATCGGTACATGCGAGAAATCAATATTTATTATACTCGTATATGATATAGTTTAGGTATCGATCGTTGTGAGAAGTCAAGAGGGGCCTAGCAAGCAAGTATTATATTGGACTTTTTGCACCATATTGTGGCTACTGGAAAAAGGTAATTAACGCCATGTGACTCAACTTCCAATTATTTAAATAGAAATAATATTAAGTAGCCACTTTTAATGGTGTTATTTAAAATAGTCACAATTTACAATATATTTAAAATTTAGTATCTTCAGGCTACCTTCTTCTGTTACTCTCATTCTTTTGCGCTTCTTCTTATTACATATTATTATTAGTCCACTTCAAAAAAATAATACATTTTAATATTTCTTTAATACAAGGCTTTTATTACCCTACAAATAATATGGCATGTTTAAGATATGAGTATCAAAGGTCTTATAACCACAACAATGTTATGAGATACTTAAGGTTACAAATTTTAAAATCTTTTTTTTTTAAAAGTAAAATTTGTGTCAGATCAACAAATAAAGTAAAACAGAGTGAGCATATTAGCATGTTTGGATGTGCTTCTGAAATCAGCGTACTTTGAAAAGTGTTTCTAAATTTTTGGTGAGAAGCAGTTTCTGTTTGACTAATCAATTTAAAAATACTTTTGAGCAATGATTAGCGTTTGATAAAGATGTTAAAAAGTACTTATGAGAGCCCGTTTCGCCAAGCTGTCAAAAACTGCTTATTTTGAGAAGTACTTTGGTTCAAAAGTGCTTTTTGAAAAAGTACTTTTAGGGAGAGTAGTTTTTGTTTGACCGATTCATTTAAGAATTGCTTTTTGCAATATTTGATAAGCAAATTGCGTTTGACCAATCTTTCCAAAAAGTACTTTTGATTAACAAATTACAAAAAAAGATAGTATCAATGTTCAGTTTACAACCAGTATTATTTAAAAAAAGAGAAATGAATTTCAAATATTTATTGTAAGACAATTTAATTAATTATTTATTGTTATTTAAATACATATATATGAAAGCACTATCTATTCTTATGAAATAAGAAACTAGCTAGTATTGGATACTTTCAACTATAATATACGTATGCACGCCAAAAAGAAATAGAAATAAAATTACGGAGATCATATAATATTAGTATACTACAAAAGAAAAAAATCATATCTTGTGAAGAGAGTGTTTGAATCTGGTGATTAGCCTTTGTAAATTATTTCAAAGAGGTATAAGAGACAAAGAAAAAAAAAAGACGATAGAATAAAAAAAAAAAAGAAGAATTTTATCTGTAGTAGAAAGATTATTCCAAGGAGGATAGGAGAAGGAGAATGAAAATGCACTAAAGTAAAAAATGAGAAGAAGGGATGGTAGAAAATAAATAGAAAAAGAAAAGCCTAAATTAATGAGGGATAATTTAAAAAATATAAATTTATTGTAAAAATATTTTGTCTTGAAATAATTAATTTTCTGCTTCTGGTTCTGCTTCTACTTGTTGGAAGAAGTTAGAATTTGTAGCTTCTTCCCAAAAGCAGAAAAACTGCTTCTCCTGCTGCTCAAAAGCACTTCTGTGTCTTGGCCAAACACCTCAATTTTTTTTAAAAAACATACTTTTTCTGATAGAAAAAGCGCATTTGGCCACCTGAAGCTTGGCCAAACAGGTTCCGTGTATTTTTCTCAAAATTGCTTTAAGCTATTTTTTCCTGTCTCTATTTAAAACACTTTTTTCTTTTTAAAGCTTGGTCAAATACAGAATGTGGGTAAAATGGATCCACACATACTACATAAAAGGCCAAAGAATAATGGAGATGGACATACCTCAACAGGCCAGTTGGATGGTGAGGAAGATCATAGAGGCAAGAGAGATAATGCAGCAACTGCCTACAGCTTATCTCAATCAGAGTAGTATCAAGCAGATATACCTAGGCATGCTGGGAAATCATAGCAAGGTGACTTGGAGAACTTTAATGTTTCACAATGAAGCTAGACCTAAGGCAAGATTTACAATGTGGATGCAATGTCATGGTAGATTAATGACAGCAGATAGGCTTGCAAATTGGGGAATACAAATAAGTACAAGGTGCTGCTTATGCAATGAAGCAGATGAATCCCACACACATTTGTTTTGTGAATGCAGTTTTACCAAAGCAGTACGGGGAAGACTTATGCAATGGCTTCGAATCCAGGTGAGTCCCAATCACACTTATACACAGATGATGGCATGGATAACAACACAAGCTAAGGGGAAGTCATGTGCAGCTAGAGTAATGAAAATGGTATATGCAGAACATATCTATGGAATATGGAGGGAGAGAAATAGTAGAATATTTGAAGAGATAAGCAGGACTACAGAACAAGTAGCAAGAGAAGTGGCATGTGTATGTAATGCTAGAGCTCAAGGAGGAATGAGGGCAAAATTGCAGCAGCTTATGTTCTGAAAAACAATGTAGCAACTAATCAGCCTCTTGTATAATATTCTTATGTACTGCTCATAGTATAGGTTAGACTTAGACTATATGTAAAGAGTAAGTGAGTCGAGGATGACTCTACTATTTTGTAATGACTCTTTGGTGATTAAAGAAAAATATAATTACCAAAAAAAGCTTGGTCAAATACCTTAACTTTTAGAATAAAAAGGGATCTTTGCACAAATAGCCAGCCATATTCATTATTTATTTTTTCTAGTCATATACATAATATACACATTGATTATACATAATTATACACGTATAATACATAAATTATTCATATATTATACTTTTACCGGCTATTTTTAGTTTAAGCGGTTGGGTGAACGGGTATTTGGGTTAATTCTTCAAATAAATAAAAAGTTAAAATAGCACGGGCTAGCCAGTTTTCGGACTGGTCATTCAAAAATAGACAGCATTTGCCAAGTCGTTGAAAAATAGCCACTATTTTGTTGCAACAGAGACCGATCCAACATAATATACAGGAGTTCGGTGCATCTGTGTATGAACTTCCAGCATATTATGCTGGACCGGTATATTTTGCTAGCTCCAGTATAATATATTGGAGTTCCAGTATATTATGCTGGAGTATTTTCCGGATTTTAAACAGTGTTTTCGTTCAGATTTATCTTTACATGAAAAGTGGCTAAATTTGGATGACTTTAGAAACTGTGGCTATTTTTGAATGACCACTTGTAAATCTGACTATTTTTGAATTTCTCTCAAATAAAAAGTACTTTTGGCCGCGCAAAAGAAAAAGACTTTTGGCCCAAGAAAAAGAGAAAATCTCACTTTATACCCATTAAGCCCAAACTATTTACCCTTAAATACTCAAACCCAAACTATTTACTTTTCCTACCTATGCAATCAAGACTATTTACCCGGCCCACAACTATTTGCCTTCCCATTTGATTCAAAGTGTGAATGACATGACGAAAAGATAACAGACTTTATTTTCATCTTCTTCTTTCTCTCCTACTTGTTAGATTTTTATTATTTTTCTGTTCCACAACTTACATAACTTCGCTCCTTCTTTCTTCTTCTTGAATTTTTCTCTGTGTGTGTGTAAATTTTGAAGCCCTTTGTTATTTCTGCGATTTTCTCTCTGCTTACTTGTTTTAAGGATTTGGCTCAGTTAATTTACTTAATTCTTTTTCCTCTACTTTTTCTTCCGAATCTATACCTTTGTTTCTGTTTTGTGTTGTATTTATTTTGTCATTTTTTGGCTACTTGTTTGTAGTACGAACGTTGCGAGCAGGAAATGGAGAAAGGGGGTGAAAGAATCCTTAGCTAGAAGAGAAAGTTTGAGTTTTTCTAGTTTCCTAGATCTAGATTTTTGTGTATTTGAATATCCACCATTGTTGTGCTTGAAGCTCAATTTTATTTTTGAAGATTTCTTGTTTGATTCAAAGTGGGTGCTGTTAAATATTGCTTATAGTACCTTCTGAAAGTTCATACTGAATTTTGATAGCGTTTGGAGCTGATTTGAGGTGATTGAGATCGAAATTTTCAGTTGAAATCGAAGAAGAACACAGCTACAATATACCGCTACGGTATACAATATGTTGTAGGAGTATATAGCTATACTGCAACACTATACTATTATAGTTTACAAAACAGTATACCGCTACAGTATACTAATATACTATAGGAATATATAGTTATACTGCAACAGTATACTATTATAGTATATAATATATTGCTATGGTATACTGTGATAATATGCAAGATACTGTAGCAATATGCTGTAATAGTATACAATATACTATAATAGTATACTTATTACCCGTAAATTCACTTGCTTTTTCCCTTTTAATTTGTTTTAAGCTTTTACCCAGCGTGAGGGGCAAATTGAGAAATGCAAAAAAATAAAAAATTATAGTATGCTATATGATGTAACGATATACTCTTACAATTAGATCCTTTTTAGAATTTTTTAAATTTTTATTGACAACTGCTATTATTTCATTTTAATGATTGAACTAAATTTTTTTTAACTCTTTGCGTAAAATTGTATACCCTGTTGGTATAGCTATATACTATACTGGTATCATATGTTAGTTAGTATTATTTTGGTTGTATTAGCTACATTTAATTGGTACACAATTTGATTTTTCTTTAGTAATAATATTAAAAAAAAAAGAATAATAGAAAATAGTGAAAACAGTAAATGAAATTAGATTATGAAGAGAAAAAGAATATAAAAAAAGGAAGTTAAATGAAATTAGAAAAGGAAAAAGGAAAAAAAACGAGAAAAAAAAGGAGAAAAGAAAAAAGAAAAGAAAAGAAGCATAGAAATAAAAAAGAATTGGAGAATAAAGAAAAAATTCTCCACAAAACCTACTATGGATAGGAAATGTAATTAGTTTATGGGTAGGAAAACAAATGGGTAGACAAGGATAAATAGTTTTGTTTTTGTGGGTAACTGTGTCAAAACCCACAAAAAAATACGGCCAAAAAGGCTATATATTATCAACATCAAGAAGGGGAGAAACTGAATTCCACTACTTCATCAGAGAACCCAAACGGAGTATTGGAACTCATCTTTGACATGTTGCTGGAGCTTATAAATATGCTACACAAAGAAAAAAACTAAATTGTAATTGTTATTTTCGATTTATGCTTTCTGTATTTGCTTTAGAATCAAGAAGTCTCCAACTCTAGAAGAGGAGCCTGACGCTCTAAATCAAAAGGTCCTCAGTTAAATTGGAAATTTTGGATTCATCTTTGTTAAAAACCGCTTAACCGTTTGAATCTTGTATTCTAGCATGAAAGTGCAACTTTTATCAAATTCTTGAATTTCTAGATCTGAATTTCAGGGCAGTTTCATGAAGTTACTGTCTTAAAGTTCGAAGAAGTGGGTCTCTCGCCCAGGCCGGAGCCTAAGGCCACTAGGCAATGGCGTCCTCAAAAAATTTAGGGCACCAAAATCTATAAATAATATATGTAATATTTAATAATCATGCATTATTAATAAAAATTTTAAATTATTTGGTTAAAATAGCTATAGCTAAAAGTTTTACACATCTTAAATCGTAGTTATTAGTTGTTTCTTATCTTTAATTTGTCCCAACTTAAATCGATCTTCTTACAATGTTAATCTAGAACAATTTTTCTTAATTCTTTGAGTGTCTTTGTAGATATTTTTCAAGCTACTTTGATAAGTATAACTATTAAAATTTGTCATTAACATTGAATGACTCTTGAAACATAGTAGTTACCACAATATTATTAGTTTTAACTTATATTTAGAATTAAAAGTGCTAAGAGAAATTGTATAAGTAGAAGAATACTCTAATTGGCAAACCCAATCAGGTAAAAAGTGTTAATTCAATTACCGTTAACAATTTCTATATCAGTTATCTCGGTTGAATTTTTTTTCGAAAACCAAATCAATAAAGTTCAACATGATAACACAAGAGAGATTAAACAAATTGGTTAGACATTGGCAATAATTAAAACTGATTATAACTTCTTTAGATTTTGATAAATTACAACAACAACAATAACCCAGTAAAATTCCATTGATGGGTTCTGGGGAGGATAGTGTGTACGCAGACCTTACACCTACCCCGAAGGAGTAAAAAGACTGTTTCCGAAAGACCCTCGGCTCAAGAAAATAAAAAGACAAAAGGAGACAATATTAGTATCACCATAGAAATCATAGGAAAAATAGGAACAACATGAAATTCAGAAGAAAGATGCAAAGCAAAAGCGATAGCTAGTAAATAGGTCCAGCACTGAAAAGCGAAATAGTAACACACAACATTGCCACTAGCTATCTTAGACAAAAACCCTACCTGGCTAGTCCCACAATGGTACGAGGTAAGGCAAGACTCAACTACCTCCTAACCTATAACCCTAATACTCGACCTCTACATCTTCCTATCAAGTGTCATGTCCTAGGAAATCTGAAGCCTCGCCATCTCCTGCCTGATCACCACTCCCCAATACTTCTTAGGCCGCCCTCTACCTCTTCTCGTTCCCTCCACAGCCAGCCACTCACACCTCTGTACCGGAGCATCTAAGCTTCTCCTCTGAACATGTTCGAACCATCTAAGCCTCGCTTCCCGCATCTTGTCATCAATGGGAGCCACGTGCACCTTCTCTCGAATTTCATCATTCCTAATCTTATCTATTCTAGTGTGCCTGCACATCCACCTCAACATCCTCATTTCTGCTACTTTCATCTTCTGGATATGTGAGTTCTTAACAGGCCAACACTCAGCCCCACACATCATAGCCAGTCAACCACTGTTTTATAGAACTTACCTTTGAGTATCGGTGGCACTCTCTTGTCACACAGGACTCCATATGCTAACCTCCAATTCATCCATCCTACCCTAATACGGTGTGTGACATCCTCGTCAATCTCTCCCCCCCCCCCCTCCCGGATAACCGAACCAGGGTACTTGAAGTTGCTTCTACTTGGGATGACCTATGATTCAAGCCTCACATCCACGCCCACTTCCCCCGGCTCAGCGCTGAACTTACACTCCAGGTATTCTGTCTTCGTCCTGCCCAGCTTGAAACCCTTAGACACAAGAGCCTGTCTCCAAACCTCCAGCCTCTCGTTAACACCGGCTTGCGACTCATCAATCAGAACTATGTTATCGGCGAATAGCATGAACCATGTCACCTCCCCTTGAATATGGTGTGTTAACGCGTCATCACCAGAGCGAATAAGAACGGACTAAGCACAGAACCTTGGTGTAACCCCATTACAAGCGAAAAAAGCTCAGAGTCGCCTCCTACTGTCCTAACCCGAGTCTTAACCCCATCAGACATGTCCTTAATCGCCATAATGTAGGGAACCGACACACCTTTTGCCTCCAGGCATCTCCAGAGAACTTCTCTAGGAACCTTGTCATACGCTTTCTCTAGGCCAATAAACACCATGTGTAGATCCTTCTTCCTCTCTCTGTACAGTTCCACCAACCTCCTAACAAGGTGTATAGCTTCTGTAGTAG